CGTAGGGCTGACAACCTTACCGCCATCTTTGAGCCGATTGTCTAGATAATGTGGGACCCTCAACGTCTCACAGCCCTATGGGCCTTCACGGCCTGTTACAGGGATACCTTTACTTTTTTACTTTACTTTAATTGGATTTATTTAAATCTTATAAATCGTAGCTACAAATAATTTATACTCCTGTCGCTAATCTACACACTTTACGAGTCACTATAGTACACACTAAGTCTTCTCAGTTTATTTTCACTAGTGGTTGCCAGGTAACGGATCCCAACAGCCTCCTAGACATGTATGCGTTTCGAAATGGGGCCTCCTCAACGAAGGAAGGGTAGACGCTACGTTTGTTGCACCGTAGTTTCAGCACGGGTATATTCGCGATGTCACGGCGTGGGCTTTGCGCAGCCTTTGCCACTCAGAGTTGCTTTACAACGGGCGGTTTACCGCCAGTCATTTCGTCTTGGCACCAAACCCATTGAGGCTCACGACCAGAGATTTTTTTTGCAGCTGAACCCTTGCGGTCATACTCCTTATGTAACATGTCTGACGAGAGGATGTGCTGACTCACTTGTTCTCTGAATTTCCTGTTGTGGCATGTCTGCAGTGCCTGTGGTTGCTGGTGTTGCGTGACTTGACGCAGTGCAGCTGTATGGGACTGCTCTGGTGAGGTGTACATGGAGAAGAACCTCCATCCAGAGGATCCCTTGGGAGCTCATTGTGTTTTTCTCCTTTGCAGTTCTTTCGCATGGCTGCAGTCTCGATGTGGCGCTAGGTGAGGTTTCTCTCCTACTAGGGCACAATTTCAGCAGCTCGGCGTAGATTATATATTTGTCTTTTCAGGGCATTCCCTATGCAGGTGACCGCCTCTATGGTCTAGTGGTCAAAGTTCCAGGCTACACATCCAGAGGTCCCGGGTTCGATTCCCGGCCCCACCAGATTTTCTGAGAAGTAGTGGGCCTGGAACGGGGTCCACTAAGCCTCGTGAGGATAATTGAGGAGCTGTTTCAAGGAAACAACGGCTCCAGTCTAGAAAACCGAAATTAACGGTCGTGAGGATCCGTTGCGCTGACCACGTGACACCCTCTATCCGCTAAAGTTGGCAGTAACTTCGCCGACAAGCTGCGGTCGCTCGGTCGGTATAGTTCCCTTGTGGACTACAGCCACGGAATTTGTTTTGTATGTATTCCATATGCAGGTGGCCACCACCTCACCACAAACATCGAAGGGGTTGCTTGCAGTTGGCCCAGACATGAACAAAATTTTGGCGGTTGTAGCCAGTCTGAGCTCTATGTAACTCTACATCGATGATAATATGGTTAAGGCTATTCAACTTGAATAGATCTTGAGAGTTTGCGTTTCTTGTTAAGGCGACAAGGAATAGAGGGAGGGGTTCCACATCCGTTTGTCCTTTAGGTGCTGTTGACATGACCGTCATTTACCCAACGTCAATGACGTCGAAGCGTAAGACCTCAAGGCCGGTGAGTCTCAGTGAACGTGACGGGTTGCTGCCTTGATAGGCTTTTCGGAATTTGGGGAGAACGTAAAATAGTGGAGATTATTTTTCCCCAGGTAGAATTTCTTGACTGAATAGTCAGCCATTGACCGCCTCCGTGGTCTAGTGGTCAGAGTCCCTGGCTACACAGGCGTCTATAAACCAGTGCCTATGGACTCTTCGACTAGCGTATCCCTTTGTCTCAGGGTGAGGCTTCACGTAGCCATTTTCAATGACGGCTTTTGTAGCAAATTAAGTATGATCATGTATTATACAAGAAGGAACAGAGACTTGCTGCTTCATGTTGGGTTATTGCTTGGCTTAACTCTTCCCCTCTGAAGATGGAGACGTTATGTTTCTTCAGAACATCGGTTGACTTTCATCGGACTACACGGCGTTATATCACAGAAGTTAGAACACTTTCCTGTTATTTTTAAACAAATGGCACTTATTCCTTGCACAGGAAGATTTGCCTAGCGTTTGTTTTAGATCATTTGGACCTGCGTCTGACAGTGTATGAAATATACCTCATGTAGCCTGTGATTAAGCTTCGCATGCCTTCTGGAGGTACGTGCCACTCCTGTTGCTCCTTACATTATGAGGTCACTTGTCCTTATTGAGAAGTCTTTGTTGCTATCTTCTGTAGTATACTTCTTCATAACAACTTATGCGCTACATTCAGCTTCAAATTCAGAGAAGTGCACACACTTTCAGTTTTATTAGTTACCACTCAGGGTCTTTCTTATCCTTGTTCGTTTGACGTTAGCTGCAACACGAATACGCTGTTTCATTCACAAGAACAGCTGCAGCTGCTTTATGCTTCTGCTACAATATTCTTTCCAAAAAAAAAAGAAAAGCTTTTGATGACAGTTACAGAGCACATAAAATCGATTCAAGACGCAACTCCAGTTTTTGAACGTTTCGGTCACGAGACAGTGCTGAAGACTTTGCGTCTTGCACTGAAAATTTGTAGTTCAGTTGAAACAAACAGATTTGTTTATGTTTTGTCTCGGTAGTTAAACATAATTCCTTCGGCGTCTTTTGGAGCAGTTGTGCAGCTTCTGTTTGTAGCCGGTTTGACAGGACTGTGATGGCTGACGTGTGTAATTGTGATATCATTGTCTCTCTTGTTCATTTTCAGTAGTTCCATGAATTTTCGGCATGTGGGTGGATTGTGTCACGTACAAACGTTTGAATTTTGGGTTCTAGTTCTGTTCTTCGTTGCGTCATGTTACCGTCCTGACACTGATAGCCCGTTTCGCCGTCACTGCGTCGTATCTATCGAGAAATGTGAATGTAATAATAAGCTTGGTGCTATGAGTAATCGAGTAAAGCTACGGGAGTGAATTCGTATGTTCGTCCTCACAGAAGTCACGCAGTATGTGCAGAGCTGTGCTGTCCCTAGCAGTCCAGTCTTAGGTAGGCCGCACACCGGCATGCGTCAAGACATGATGTCTGCAACATGACGCAAGGAAAGGAGCACAGCTGAAACGAATGAGATTATGAAGACCGCCACACACCGGTCTGAGTTATGATGCTGACGTCAGCTTCATGCTTACGAATCACGAATGAAGCAAGACTGCGTCTTTTGTTTCATGTCTTGATGCTTATCTTGACGCAGTTAGTGTGCGACCGCCCTTACTCTGATATATCTCTGTTGATCATTTTCAGACGCAACATTGTTATATTTTTGACTCATATTTTGGGCATTGGCTATCATGTAATTTCTTTTCAGACCACAGCGTTTCAGAAACTAGTTCTATTTCCTTCTTCATGTTGCAGGATTACATAAAGGTTTTACTCCCTTTGAGGGGGCACGCGGTAGCGTAGTTGGTTGAGGGACTATGCTACAAGCCCGAAGGTCGCGGGATCGAGTCCCGATGAGGTCATTGATTTTTTTTCAGTTTACCTAATCCTTCCAGCCGCACTATGGCCCTAACAGAAATGAGTACCAGGAATATTCTTGGGGTAAAGGGCTGCCGGCGCGTAAGGCTGACCTCACCGCCATCTGTGAGCCGATTGCCTAGATAGTGTGGGAGCTTCGACGTCTCACAACCCTATGGACCTCATAGCCATGACTGTTCCTGGATCTGAGGCTCCCTCTGCCAAGGGACTCAGCTAAGTAACATCCTTTATTTTGTCCTGTTACCAGAAGAAAGGAGCAGAGCCGTTGTCCGAAACAGTTTGGCTTGGAAACTGGAACAATGGACAGTATCCAAAATATCACTCTAACTGACTGCTGTATATTGTCGTCAGGAATCTGAAGATACAGTATGAGCGCTCCTTTTTCACAGTCGCCAACGTAGTCATCTGGTCTTGCACTCTCACGGCTGATCATAGTGGCCGCCCGGTCTAAGGCATGAAGTGTCTTCGCCCGCTCGAACACTGGGATCGTGGGTTCGAGGTAGGAACTGTATCAGCATGGTGGCTGTCTGACCATTCTGTGTGGGATAGTAGTTGGGGGCCTGAAAGTAATTTGTTGCCAGGTATATGCAAAACTGTCATAAAGAGTGTTAGTCGCTTTCACATGCCTGTTAAAATGAACTTTATTCCTCCATATGTACGCACGTAACAACTCGACAGCCGCTAGACGGATTTTAATGAAATGTGATATTTGGGAGTTTCGCCTAAATTTTTAACACATTCCAGTTTTTGAGGCATGTAGCAGGTTACGTAAGGAAGGTCCAAGTAAGAAATACTCAAATTAGGTAAGAACTGAATGTTTTTAGTTTAAATAATACTGGTAAAGCACTGAAATCTACATCACAGTGCAACGTCACGTTCTACGAATGAAAGACAGACGAATTCCAAATAGAATTTGAGCATACTGCCAAAGAATACAACAGAACAAAGGAAAACCACTGTTGAATTGGAGGAACCGTGAGACGATGGAAGACCATGATGATGATGATGATGATGACATTCCAGTTTAGCTTAAATCGAACAAATAGCATACACACTTTGCGTTAACTGAATTTTATAGATCTCCATCCTGTCTTTGTGTCTGTGTATCCTCTACCCCATCATCTTTTGAATGTCTGAACGAATCTTTATGAAACTTGGTATGTATATCATGGCACCTGAGCCCATCTCAGCTGCATGCTTCATAAATCCCTCCCATCCGTCTGTATGTGTATCCCCGTATCGTCGCTGGGAAACGGCTCTGTAGACACGTTACCGCAACAATAAGGAAGAAATTAAGGATGATTATGTCCACTTTTGGTATTCCAACAAAACTAAGTAGGATAATTAACTTAACCATGACAGAAACAAACAATCAAGTTAAAATCCAGAACCCGACCCGACCCGACCCGACCCTACCCGACTCGGCTGGTTTCGGTTAATGTGCCGGCAGCTTAAGTTTCTCCGGCCCCGCATTCGGACGGGACCGTATGAACGGAAATGGACGTCACTGATGCCCCCTTCTTTCCCTTTTCTTATTCGTTCTTCCAGGTCAGTGTGAGTTTCACAGCTTTCGGCATGTGTAACGTGGCTGATCCTCTGTTGACAGGAAGGTACGTGGGCAGTCGACCCATCAAACTGAGGAAGAGCTCGTGGAAACAAAGGAACATGGAGTCGGTGCGAAAGAAAGATAAAGAGAAAGCAGCTCTCATTGGCTTGCTGACTGGCCGGTGACAGACGTAAGGCCGTGGTGAGTTACATTCCCATGTTTTCATTTTGTGATTGTATTGTGTGTTCATGTCCGAAAATAAAACGACCTTTAGAGCCACGTAGTTCATGTGTTCCTCCTCATCTTAACGTTTGAATGAGGTGATCAGTTTTTATGAGACTCGTGAAGAAAGACATGATTCTGGCGCTTGTGACTTGCGTCCGGAAGGTGCCTGGTTCGAATGTCGAGTGAGATGATTGTCATGACTGAAGCTTTTTTTGGTTTTCCACTTTCCTTCATGTAAATACCGAGATTAATAGACATTAGACCACGAATGCCTCATTCCACATCCTCTCCAGTCTTTATCCAGTCTTTATCCTACAGTTCTACACTATGTACTGTGAGCTAAACTGAGAACCTTAAAGAGACGAATTTTCATTAAATTTGATGTGAAACAAGATGCCGCGTCACGTTATCTTGCTATATTTCGTACCGAAAATAATGTGAACATGGCGATCGTACGAAAATGTGAGGTGCAAGCGACACTAGCGCCATTTAATGTAGGATTCCGAATTCGTCATGGCCTTCCGAGCTCCTACGTCGAGTGTGCTTGGTCACCGTTTATATAGTCTCATAACTGTGTCTGACCGCCTCTGTGGTCTAGTGGTCAGAGTTCCTGGCGACATATCTTGAGGTCTGGTGTTAGATTCCCGACGCTACCAGATTTTCTGAGAAGTAGTGGGTCTGGAACGGGGTCCACTCGGCCTCGTGAGGATAATTGAGGAGCTATTTCAAGGAAATAGCGGCTCCAGTCTAGAAAACCGAAATTAACGGCCATAGGGATTCGTTGCCCTGACTTCTGGCTACTCAAGAGGGACTCAGCTCCATGGAAATGATTGGTTGGTTGGTTATGTATAATTAGTATGATTTTCGTCCGATTTCAGGTTTTCACAGCAGTGACTCTGACTATATCTTCTGAGAAGTGACGTCATGTACTCCGGTATAAGTTTCTAAACTTTCCGGACGGCGAAAGTTGACAGCTGTGTCAGTTTAAAAATACCGATGGTTCAGGGGCCATCTCTGTCCCCATTATCAGGGTCTCTCTACTACTCCACCGACGTTTCGGAGGAACTGTCTTCACTTTTAGGTTGGACGAGAGCAGAGAAAGAGACTTTCTGGTTGCTTTCTTGGCTTACTGTTTGGCCAAGAAAATGGAGATATGTTCCCCCGAAACGTCTGCTGTCCCTCAGTGGACTACATCGTGTTATATCCCAGAAGACAGGACGTTGTGAGTACCTCAGATCCTACTAGTATTTCAATTGCCGGTACAACTGTACAACGCAATTCAGTCTCAACAGTATTTCGGTGTGAAATGTTCAATTGGAATCCGTAATTTTAAGAAACAAATGATGCAGCTGGTGTCCCTGGATTGATTAGAACGAATTCTTGAGACGTGTTTTGCGACCTTCACATCGCCTACGTCTGGATGGTCTCTTCGGCCTTTTAAAGGAGCATGTCGGAAGACCTGTTATATACAGGGTGTCCCAGGAGAAAGGATCATCATTCTGGGAGGTTATAGTGTCGGTCATTCTAAGCAATGAAGTGTATATTGTCACGTATGGGGGATACGCATGACGAAAATGACGGGTTCTAGATCTGATGACTAGATTTATTAGTAATTCTGATACACTTTCTCTTAATTACAATTAATACAGCGCTATCGCTGATTTACTCACTTTTCCAGTTCACCGTTGCACACGCACTAGGATTCTCGGTTTCTACTTGTCGTCTCCTAGCAATGGATCTCAAAACAGAAACTAGCACTTCAAATCACTATGAAATCTTATTGCAATTTCTTGTTAAATCACCCTGGAACCTCGGAACTCAACAAGAAACTGTCCTGAACTTCTCAAGCTTACGACTCACTCGTAACTCGTAATTGCTCTGAACGAATTCTGTCACATATACGTAGTGTAGCAGTAGAACGGACATGGACCTACAGTAAACACACTTCACGTGATCGCTGTCCGTCCAGTCTATTGACACGTCGCTCGGACCTACAGAAAACACAGCTTCCTCTATTGTTGCGTGTTGGACCGTGTTCACAGAGCTGTTTCCTGTGCAACGTATTGGTCAGATCCGTTACAGTATGTACATGTGTCCTATTGCGGTTTCCGAGATAGGGCTATTTCACTGTACAGTACACAGTACTCTGTACAGGCGAGCAGCACGCCATGTCCTCACACGAGCTGAAAAGTGCATTGATGTTGACGGTCAAATTCTCGAAAATGTATTATACTAGGTAAACTGTACCAGCTGGTCACGGTCTAAGGCATGTACTGTCTTCGCTCGCTTGGAAACCAGGATCGTGGGTTCGAATCCCACTCAGGGCATGGATGTTTAGTTTGTGTGTGTGCGTTTTTCTATGTTTTCTGTGCCAGGTAGAGGCCTTGCGACGAGCTGATCACTCGCCCAAGGAGTCCTACCGAATGTGTAAGATCTAGAAAAACCGAAGTGAACGGAGAAGTTCATGGAGGTAGGCCTAGGCCCACTGGGGCTGTAGTGCCAAGGAAAAAAAAAACTGTACCAACTTTGTCACTTGAACAATAAATACCGGCATTAGAAACAGTACGTAATATTTCTTTCTTATCAACAGTTTTGGAACTGTACAGTGAAATAGCTCTACCTCGGAAACCGTTCGGAATAGGACACATGTACATATACAGTTACTTGCTTAGAATGACCGGTAATATGACCTCCCAGAATACTGACCTTTCCTCCTGGGACATTCTTTATCTAAGAACAATGAATGTCTTCTGCTTAGCTACTAAGCATGTATGACTACCTTGTTAAAGTCAATTAAATTTGTATGTTTATAGCATGACTCCGTTATTCAAGTACATTTCTTTTAGCATCTATCAATCTTTCGCTTAATAAGGGATGTGATATTTTCATACACGACGTTTTAGGTGATAATTTATGTTGTAGTTCATTAGTGGAAGATAAGGCATTTAGAGTAAACAATCCGCTTTATCAGTTGTGAAGGTCTCCTCAAGTTATGTCGATTTTCCAATAAGCTTACACCTTTTACTCTCCAGGCAAATGCTGGGCTGCTACCTTAAATTACTCCAGACCACTTCCTGCCACATCCTTCACAATTTATTATTATCATGCAGTCACATGACGCTATATGGACTGGATTACTAACATTGTCGTACCAAACTATCTGTCTCTGTATCTGTGGTCTCGTGGTCAAAGTCCCTGACTACAGATCCAGGGGTCTGGAACGGGGTCCACTCAGCCTCGTGAGGATAATTGAGGAGCTATTTCAAGAAAGTAGCGGCTCCGATCTAGAAAACCGAGATTAACGGGCGTGAGGATCCGTTGCGCCGACCACGTGACACCCTCTATCCGCAAAAGTTGGCACTAACTTCGCTGACAAGCGGCGGTTGCTCGGTTGGTATAGTTCGCTTACGGACTAAAACCACGGAGTTTGTTTTTTTTCTTTGTTTTCTAGGGATTATGAAAACCAGTATATAATTTATTCAGGCCAGATTCAGGGTTCGAATTTTCATGATGGATTGGCCGACAACCCTTACAACGTTCTCGTGTTTTATTTTTTTTTATCAGAACAAATATTCCCATTGTTATGGCTGAGCGAGGACCAAGAAAGCCGTATAACGTTGCTGCTTCGGAACATGTGATCCGGATGTGTTTCGGCGCGTGCCTATCAATGCGGAACATTTATTTAAATCGCTCTTTCCGTCCGTCTCTAATCCTGAAACAGCTTGATGAGAACGGAAAATTTTACGAATAATTATGGAATCGTGTGAATTTTTATTTTGCTCTGGTAATTTTAAGGATCATTATACATGAAGACTTACATGTGTTTATGCACGCTTTTGACACAGGTTGTAGAGAGAAACGAGCCTGTTTTAGAGAGGAGTGGGGCATTTTTTGTGTCCAATCCACTTTTCCGCCTACAGTTTTCGGGGCAAACAGAAAGGAATATACGTTCAAGAATTATCGCGCCGTTATCATGTTTTCAGACATTAGCTAAGTCTCGTATTTATATACAGTTGGCATGAATTCAGCCGTGACATGCTTGTTGCATTTAAAATATAGCTTCATGTCAAGTAAATTATGTAACTATGGGTCAGAGTAGGGGAGAGAGTTAGTAAATAGGTCACAAATTGATATAAAACATAGAGCATGTGATATTCGAACCTGAAAAAAAGAATATATATTTCTTGACATATCAGTGTGTCGAAACCCACAGTTATCTCAGCCTCTTCCTCACCTCCTTTTCAACATTTTCGTTATTAGCGAATGGTGTACATTTTTATAAGACTGCTTAATTCGTGCCAACTTTAGCGAATAGAGGGTGTCACGTGGTCAGCGCAACGAATCCTCACGGTCGTTAATCTCTGTTTTCTAGACCGGAGCCGCTATTTCCTTGAAATGGCTCCTCAGTTATCCGCACGAGGATGAGTGGACCCCATTCCAGACCCACTAGTTCTCGGAAAATCTGGTAACACCGGGAATCGAACGCGGGACATATGGATCTGTAGCCAGGAACTCTGACCACTAGATCACAACTTCAAACTACAGGCTACAGAGTTTCTTTTGTGCTTAATTCGTATTAAATTCATAAACAAACAAGGCAAATGGTAGAATTTGAAGTTCTTACAGCGGTTGTTATGAAAAATCCTATATTCGGTGATACAGCACCGTGTAACAGCCTTGCTGCTTGGCTTACCAACCCTGAAGATGGAAGTGTCCATGTCCCAGAAGACACGCACACTGACGACACTAACCAAGCAACGTGTGAATATGAGAGATATGCCCAGAATGCGCTGTTTAGCCTCGGTGGTGACCTCTGACGTTGAGTAACTGGTTGCTATAATGAACATTGATGAATACTGAACAGAAATTACTCTTCCGGATTTTCAATACAGATTGACACGTGCGATTATTTGTTTTACCTGGTTATCCTGTAATCCTGAATACATTAATCAGCTAATCCATTTCTGTTTAATCAC